TCATAACTCGAAAAGTATTAGGAGTATGTATTAATTTTGAAGGATTTTTTGGTAAAAATATGGTTTTGTTGTGAAAAAATGATTACTAAATTGATCATTCAAAATATTGTCATCGCTAGCCACTACTTTTTCCCATTTTTCTGATAATAGGAATTGATTCCTCGTCGAAAAAACGTCTTCAAACTTTTTCGGCTGGCCTGGACGTTTCTTGTCTTCTCCGTGTCAAAATCACCTTTTTTATAGCGTCGAAAACCAGTACTCACATGTTGAAATCGATGGAGTATAATCACCATAAGCTTCCAACAGCATTCGTTGACTTTCAGCAGCAAATGAAAGCAAAAAAGCAAAGCTTCTCGCAAATTGCGTTTTGTTGGTACAAAATTCAATGCTAAAAAAAAAATGTTTGCAATTCGGTACAATGACACATACGGAAAACTAAAGCCATGATAGTGCTTTGAACGTGAAGGTAGCAACAATATGGCCCGATGCGATAGTATTAGTTACGCCATCTCTTGAAAATCCTTTAAAATTAATGCATACTCCTAATACTTAATGAAAATGAACTTTATTGTAGTATATTGAAAAGCTCTCGAGGTGAACTACAAGAATATGCAATAAAATGGGAGGGGAGGGGGGGATTTCGTAAAAAAAAAAAATCGATTTGACCTTGACTGGACCTTGGGCGACGCATCCCAAGGCCAAATCGATGTAATCAATAAGTAAATCTTTTTAAACCCTACAATTTTTTTGTGAAACATTTTTCTCAAAAATTCTTTGTTTTTGAGATATGTTGTCGGACTTTTGATACATTCTGTATGTACTTATAATATAATTTTTTGCACTATCTATGTATTGCTAATAAACTCTTTATCCATGTTATGGAACATCTCCGTGTATGCAGACGGCACTTCTACTTCCTTCAAGTTGTCCAAACCGATTTCTTTTTCAGTTCTGTAATACAAAAATAAAATTTCTTTTATGTAAAAAATTACGATTAACTGGATATGGAATTTCATTTTATATCACAAATATTTACTTTATCAAAATATCTATGACATTTTCACATGCCAATAAGCAGTTCTTATCCTTTTCCCATTTATGAAGCTCTCTAAGTATAAGATATGTATTTGCATTTCTCAACATTTCTCTAACCACTTTTGTTGCACAGAGTTGATTTAATGCTTCTAAAAGCATAAGTCTGAAATAACATAATAATAACATTATTGTCTATTTGTATTAATTTTATGAATCATTCCTCTGTCAATCTATAACTTGCCTTATATCTGGATCAGTCTCTCGAGTTTTAGTTTCAGGAAGATATTGTAAGTTAATTGGCAATTTAGACATATCTTCATCGTCAAATTCTTCTGGACCAGCAAGTGATAATAATAGGTATGATAATAAATCCACTTTGGAGCTTAACAACCACACATGATTTTCTGTGTCAAAAGTGCAATTTTTTAAAGTACCAACAATACCACCTCGTCTAATTAGACTGTCAGAATACTCTGTGAATGGAAGAATCCGTTGAATAACGCAACGGTGTCGATCCATCAAATACCTATAATAAAAGACATTTATTTACAATATAATTTACTGAAATAAAAATCAATTAAATGATACCTTCTTATACGTGGCGATCGACTTAGATTACTAAAAACAGGTCCAAGATAGTGCAATTTATCGCCTTTAATATTATACTGTTTTGCAGTAAATACAGATAATATTTCATCCCAAGAGTAACCACTTTGTTCAATAAGTGTTATCATTCGGTCTATTAGATGAAACGGTCTAGTCATATTAGAAAGTATCATACAACATAAATCTGCCATAATACTAGATTTATCCATTATAGCTCTGTAAAAATAGCATGTAAAATATTTGATACAGATAGAATAAAACAGCAATAAATAAATAATAATATATTACCTCAAACAAACTTTTATTAAATTCTGATTAGGTTCTTGGGTAACTAAATCTGTCAAAAATAAACTGTGTAAATATCTGCTACAAATTTTATTCGCCACCACAACCAAAAAGAATCTCATTTTGTAACTATTCAAAATATTTTATTTATAAAATAACTAAATTCTTTTCGTTTTATGTTGTCGATTTGTCATCAGATTATCGAAAGTTTGGCTGACAGAACAGATGTTTAATGCAAATACAATTGATGTCAATTAATTGAATCTGCTATCGATGCACTACTATATCGCACTAACGTTTTACTTACCAGACTTATTGATTTCTGTTGAGTTATTTGACTCTGAAATAATCAACATTGCATTAGTTCCTGATTCATCTCCAGTAATATTTACTAATATCTGTGCAGCACATTTGCTAATAGCAGCACAAGAATCTTGTACAAGGGTAACAAGTTGTATTAACATTTCTGGTAGCTTCAACAGGAGTTCCCGGCCATCAGTAGTCGCCGTTACACCTGTGTACATTTTGAATGATCTGTCAAGGTTTTTGTAAAGTAAACAAATGTAGTAAAATAGTAGTAAAATATATAAAATATGTAAGAATTACATACGGAGCACGTGATTTAGCGCACAGACTTTTACATCAAATCGGGTATTAGGGCTTAAATATTCAGAAATTTCTTGTAAGGACTCCATTCTTTTTAATATACTTATTAAATCTTGTAATTGCCAATTTGTTGCATGAAAATTCTGGTAGTTTGAACCTTTAAAAACTGTATTTTTACCCACAGAAAATAGTGACTCTATCAACACAAATGCACATGTTTGACTAAAGTAAAAATTATGCTACCATTAGCCCTCTATGTAATGTACGCGTATAGGTTAACAGTAGTTTTTGAATGAGTTATTACTATATGATGGTACATACCACCTGATAGTAAAGAATAGAGTTCTCGTCCATCGATATACAGGGTATTTAAAAAATTTAAATATCTGTAATTAAAAAATTTAATTATCTGTAAAGACAATTCTAATGAAAAAAATCCTCATCTCTCACAACTTTTTTAAGAATTTGTTATATTTTTTATGTAAAATTTTTTATGAAAATTTTTGATAAAATTTCTTAAACTTTTTCAGAGTTTATAAGTTTTCTTTAGAAATTATAAAATGAAAAATCTCAGAGATTTTAGAATATATACTTCCGAATTTATATACATAAAGAATCCAAAGAACAGAGAATGGACTGCGCGATCCGTGTGTAAAAATGGTCGATAGGGATGAGAGAGAGGGACCGTGGCAGACGGCCATTTCTATCTCTTTCCATTCAATGGTGTAATGGGAGAGAGAATGAGAGAGTTGGCCGTCTCCCATAGTCCATCTTTCTTATTATTGTCGACCACATTTGATATATTTATACTTAGATACGAATTGCGCAGTCCATTCTCTATGCCTTTGTGAAGAATCCTCTAGAAAATAATTTAAACTTTCTCGATACCTCCAAAAAGTGTTCCAAATTCATATAAAAGATTTGAGAAATTTTTATAAAATTACACAAAAAATTGGATAAATTATAAGAATTATAAATGCTCTCCAGACGTGGCAATCTGAGAGACTTGCTTACTGCATTCCATGGCTTCGTTATGGCGAACTAACTAATTTATTGTTAATGGAGACTGCTGAAGATGGCTTGAAGATAGCCGAAACGTTCAGAATAGTATATCACGTATGGAATACTGATTAGAGAAATATATTTATACTTTGATTCACGCACTAAGTACTGCGTTTAAGGCTCTTAATTGCCCTTTTTAGTCGTTCTTTATTTGATTATATTTCGAGAGCCCAATTGAACCTTTGATTTGTTAAATTATAAGAATTCTAAGGTCCAGTTTCACACAACTCACGGTTAACTCTTAAGGGGATGCTAAACCGATTACCCAACTCAATCAAGGTCGATAGTACAGACTTTTTTAATTCCAATTTCGATAATAGTGGCGACATCTTTGATTTAGTTTTTACATTATATTATATAATATATATCATTCTGTCTTACTCAAACGCATACATCTGTTCTTATCTAACATATGCCAGCACCATCTATCGCAAGACCGCGCAACTACTACTACACGGAATTTCGGCTCTGTTGACAGTCCCAGTCTCCGCAAAGCATCTGTATACACGTATTTCCTATTCGGTGGGAATATATCTTTTCTAGACTTTCAATCTTAGTTCTACAAATTCGGTATCGTTCGTTTCAATAATGTGATGTTTGCTGCCCGCTTATTTTCAAGATATGGACTCTAAAACTCTTATATCAAGCAAATATATATCCGAGGTGACAGCTGTGCGAGCCAAAAATAAGTAAATTTTATAATTTTTTTTCGATTTTCTCATAAAATCCAGTGTAGCAAACATCCTCTGTGTGCGTACTATAATTTAAGTAATAATACTTTTGCAATCCGTACATCCAATACGGAGAAATCCCACCGAATAGGAATGTGGTAAAACAGGGGGGCTTTAGCATCGCCTTAACCGAGATTCAATTTATTTCTCATCTTTTTCCAATTCTAGAATTGAAAAGAGATATAATGAATAAATTGAACCTCGCGCGGTTAAGAGTTAACCATCAGTTGTGAAACTGGGCCTAAGAAAAATTTTTCATCAAGAAATTAAAATTACAAAGTATATAATTAGTTGCACAAATGATGGTTCTTTTTTAAAGAAAGAAAAATTAATTTCAAAATCTCAAGAAAGTTTCATCAAAAGAAATTTAATTAATACACTCCTCTCGCATCAATTTATTATCATACGTACCCAAGTAATTTTAACTGTGAATAAAATACATTTAATAAATGAGATGCTAAATAAAAAATTGAAAACAGAGATGAAAAAAAAAATTATTAAATAAAGAGTAGTTTTCTTTTCCTATGTTAAACTTTTTAGCATTTATATATATATATACACAATATATTTATATATAATTTTTACTAACATTTTCGATTGCTGGTAATGTAGTTCGGCGTGATGATTCGTACTTTGCTCATCGTCCGCTTTTCCGCAGTCGGCGATGCAATGCAACCGACTAAACTAACCTATGAGAAAATTGTTTACATGCCGTAGCATTTTAAAAGCGCACGTTTTGTCAATATCTCCGAACAATGGCAAATCTCTGCGACGAAAAAGTAACGCGTATGGAAGATATATTGAATACAGCATCGGTGCTGAATAAACCTACACTAGAGCAGTTGCCTAATACCGAGAAACGCGAGAGGCAACATATTCCACGAGGCAAACCAAAATCTGGTAGGATATGGAAGGAAGAAAAAACGAAGTAAGTTACAATTTCAATAACAATAATATAATTATTCATAACATAATTCTTCAGTAGTTATCAATTCTTCTTCAACTATTATCATTCGAGAAAAACCTACCTGATCTAGATTTTGATTATTTCCTAGTTTTGTTACAGTTGCAATTTTTAACAATCCCTGGTAAAAATTTTTCTCAAAATTTTTCATATAATTTTTCGGAATTTCTATGTAATTTCATAACTTTCTCATATTTTTTATACTAATTGGGACACTTCTCAGAAAATCTATATCTTTTCACAGAATTTTTCATATATGTTATTATGAAATATTGTAAGATTTCTAAGATTTTTTTATAAGTATAATTTCTGATGAAGAGTTATAAAATCTAAAAAATTTAAAAATATTTTTTTTAAATTATGGAATGAGAAATCTTAGAATATTTTAGAATTCACATGTATGAAAAATTCTGAGGAAAAATGTGAACTTTCCGAATATTTCTGAAGTATATCTGAAAAATGTTCCAATTCGTATAAAAATTATAAGAAAAATTTTCACCAGAGATTGTACAATAAGTTCTTTGACAAATTTTCACTTTGAAGCTTTGTTTTAAAGTTAAGTCATTGTTTAAAGTTTTGATTTTTTCTTTTTCAAGAAGCTTTGCTTGACAACTACTCTAGTACTGAACTATCCAATATCCCATTCATAATGTAATTTCAGTTAATAGAAAATTTTAATGTACTTTTTAAATTTCTGCCGAATAATAATTAATTATTCCTAACGTTTTGTTTAATGAGCAAAAAAAAAATATAAATTAGTGATGCAAATGTTTGTTTGCAGATTTTCTTCTATAATTAAAACGCGTGGAATTCGACAGTCGTTTGCTAAGAAACAAAAGTTGAGAGAAGATCTGAAACGCGTTAAAGAGATGTCAAGGGCAATCAAGGCACAAAAACAAGCAGAAAAGGAAACCAAGAAGCAACGAAGGAGAGAAAATTTAAAAAGAGCGGAGGAAAATAGAAAAAAGAGCGAAATTGTGCAAATTGTAAGTCAATGTTAATATCATTTTTATAACAAGGCATGCATTTATTGGATATATTTTAAAACTCTTATTGTATGGTCATTTTCAGATTAAAAATACTGCAAAGATAAAAAGGATGAAGAAAAAACAATTAAGAATGATTGAAAAGAGAGACACAACTAATATGTAACACTGAATAAAATTATGTAAATAGAGTACGTAAATACGTAACATTATAATTGTTTGTTAGATAATCATTTTTAACAAAAAAAAATTCTTTAGCGCATATAGATCTCGTTATATATATTCTAAAAGAAAGTCTTAATTTTTTAATAATTTTTCTTTTTCTTCTTTTTCACGTGCAAGTTGCATGACTACAAAATCTTGAAGTTCCATTTCCAGTTTGGAAATCTGGTTACATCTTATCTGTAATATAAGTAAATTATAAGTACCTGTAAATTGCAAATATATTACTTCAAGACGTACATTTGTTTTTACCCATTTTGGTAGATAGTTGATGTTCTGTTGCAGCTCAAATCTATATAAATTATTGTAATGTAATTCAGTTTTAGCTATTTCTAAATATTTATACCTATACATACCTTTTATCTACTAATAATACAGCACCCCAATCATTTTTATGCCTGACACAACGACCTATTGCCTGATTTAGCGCTCTAAACGCATTTACAGTATACCACTCGCTACCAGTTAGTAACTGTCTAGATTCATTGGATTTATTCAAGTTATTATACTCCATTTTCATGGTTATATCACTGCTTTGTAAAAGATACGGTATGCCAATCTAATGGACGTAAAGATATAATATTAGAAGTGTGTGTATGTGCGTGCGCGCGCGCGCGCATGTGTGTGTGTATATGTGTGGTATATAAATAAAATAAATATTAAAAATGTTCCTTACTGCTAATACGCAACGAGCCTCATTGTCGCTGAAATCTATTCCTTCCGCCACCTTTGCTCTAAAAACTGCAAAGAAAATAGCTCCGCATGCTGTTCGATCCTGTTCAGACGGCGATTCTTCAATCACACTACGATATTCTCTCATGACTGGTTTTAGATCTTTTTCATATTTCGGTTCCACAAAAATTGTCTTCAAGTTAGAGAGTTTGTCCCATATGCCGTTATTCCTCCATCTATTGTGTATGGTGTTCATTGCCTTATAGGATGAAAAGAAACATAGTACACCATATGGCACCGCGTCACATACTTGAAGAACCAAATTACCGAGTTCGTCCTATTAGGATGAGAATTGTTCAGATATTCATATACATAAAGCGTGAATATATCTAAAATAAAATTAACAATCCGTTTCTCCTTACCTGAAAAGCCCAGGTGTTCACCTGATCAAATGTAGCTTTTAAAGGTTTTCCACTTAGTCCCTGTGTTATGTATCTTATATATAATTGATTCTTCGGTATAATATGATCAGGATTGATTATATACGAGAATTTCGTCCCGAGTTCGCTTTGATACGACACAGTCGGCGTCAAAGTACCTGAAGCGAGTATCACAGAACGAACTTCATGAGCCAAAGGCGCAAAAACTATAGCTGGATTCATACATTTCAATATCATAGTTCGTACTTTGGTCCATTTTTTGATTATCGAGTCATTTTCGGTTACCTGACAAAAAATTATTACATGATGTTTGATACAATTATTAGATCGTAATTATACAGACGAATTGCTCAGACATACCTTTTCAATAAATTCATTCGTTTCTACGATACACATCCTATAGTCATCAACCTTATCTGATGCAATCATTTGCATACCGAAACAGAGATACTCAAGAAGTTTCCTACTTTCTTGCGAAATAGTGAGCTTTACCTTTTTAGAATTCTCTTCTTTCATATTCTGGTTGAAATCTTCTATAGCCGTCTTACTGGCAGCAATAAAACTGGGAAATCTAGGACATCCGATCTTATTTACATCGAGCAATTCTCGGAATACGCTACCAACCCAATGCTTGCTGACCATTTCGTTACGATCCTAAAGCATATACATTTTACATTTATAAGTAAAAATAACGATTATAACTATTTCATAGTATGTTAATAAATACCTAAGGTACGAAATAAAAATTTAAATAAATCATAATGACACGCACAATTAATGTAAGAACAAAAATTTGTTTTATTTTTTGATAAGTATATATGCTCACATTATCTTTGACTTCGACATCATTAAGAAATTTTATGAGATCTGTGAGATATTCGTGTATGGTAGCATAAGTGATAGTTTTATACTCCATGTCCACAAAATGTTTGCATTCTTTAACGGCAATCATGAGCTTGTCATCTCTGATATCCACAGTGGCAGCTTCTCGACATATATTCTCGATATTGTGAGCCTCATCAAGAATCACGATGTTACCTCTTAGATTGATTTGCATCTACATATTTTAATTATATAATTATTTAATTATTACATCTATTGTTAGATATTTAATACTGTATAGTACTTATGCATTTAAGATGAAGAGAGATTTAAACTGTTAAGCATCCCTATTGATGAATTATTTTTAATGTAATTACTCAGAGTTATTTACTGATTCTAAATACTTTATTAGTAATAATTTAATTTTGCTTACGCTATCGCGAATTTCTGGATACAAGATATAATTGTACGGACAAAAGATAATTTCTGCATCGGCCATCAAAACTCTTGCACCGAAATATGGGCAGCTCCCGACTTCTTTGCCTAATGACACCAAATCTTCAATATCCCAAGGCGTGTTTATTTCACTAAATATTGTCGGTTTCTTCTTTGCATCGTCATTATAATATTTGCATCTTTTAACCTACGCGTATAAATAACATCGTTATATGTATAATTATTTAACTTTTAAACTTCTGTGAATAGTGTGAATACGGTATAACATTTATAGAAACCTTAAGCCTGGGATCAAGTAATTCGTTACACAATTTGTCCTTGTTCTTATCAGTTTCCTGAATGCATGTTTTTTTTCGGCTGCTCAATATAGTCATCCTAGAAAGACATAATTATTTATTATACATTCATTTAATAGAACGAATATTTCGCATGTTCTTTTACCTCTTATGCCTGTACGCGGTCTTCTTAAATTCTTTGACTACCTGTTCAAGTTGTCCGTGAGTTCGCGATCCATAAAATATTTTTGGCACTTTCTTTGTTCTAATAAATATTCAATTTTTTACTATTCAATCTAGACATATAGAGAACGTTTGAAACGCTATATTTAATAACGCACTTACTTGTTTCTGGACAAAATTTGCTCAAGCAATTTTTCATCAAAATATTGCGACGAGTTTAAGAAGAAATTTTCAGCATCATCGTCGTTGTCGTGTGAGCTCTCTATTAAATAAGACAACAATTATTAACCTACTGTGTATTTATAAGAGTTCTTACTGACAAAATAAAACCAATATCTTAAAAGAAATAATAATTTTTAAGAAAATAATTTTTTCGTATATATTTCATCGAGGAAAATAAATTTTATTATTGTGAATACTGAATTAAAGGTACGGAGATGTATGTGTTCCTGGCATTGAAGAAGCAAGCGAGAGGCGAAGAGACGAGCGTAAAGGATGTCAAAACATTACGAATGCTGGCACGTGAAAGGGCACGAATCCATTGAACGGGATCAATAGGAAGGTTTAATTCTCTCGTAGAGCGCTGTGCAGTCTCGACAAGCCGGCTACTCGAAGAAGGCATTGAAAAGGAAGCCAATGGAATCGCTCTTAATCCTTTCGTACAATTTACAGAGCCGTAAAAATAGAAATGACTCTCAATGACATCGAGAGCCGACAGAAACGGCTCGAAATTTACTCGTAATCGGATTTACAACGGATGAATCTACGGTAAATAAGATTTCGGTATCTCATCCTTGCGAAACTAGTTTCAAGTTTCACCCAAGTTATCTAGAGATACGCTCTCTGGTTTTTAGCTTCGTATCGAAAAAGAAAAAAAAAACAAAAACGTATAGTTAAGATGTGCGTTATTAGAGAGAACGGTCGTAAAGAGTCAGATTTGGAAACGTATCGTCGCGTGTCGTATTTTGTCTCTGGCATGTTCTTCTCGTACAACAATACAAGAGTAAAAGATATGTGTTATTTATCCGAGATAATATTACGTCGCTTTACCATGTACACCTAACCACGTACACATACGCACAAGCACGTAGGTACTAACATTGCGCCATTGCGTCGGACTACCCCCTAATTCCTCCTAGCGTTCTGTTCTCTGTGCAGACGCGCTACAGCGTGTTTCTTTTTTTTCTTTTTCTTTTTTTCTCTGCACGCGGGCGCGCGCTCGTGTGTGCACCTCGCTCCGACGACGGCGGTTTCCATCGGCGTGGCGCGGCGAGAGCGGAGGGAACGGGTGGTACGGTAGCACGGGCAAGGGGGTCTGATTGGCGACGGGGTGAGAAGAGAGGCTAAGACAGGAAAAGCGAGACGGGGCCAATCAGAGCGCGGACTTCGAGGGTGTCGTTGCCAGGCAACGAAACACACCCCAACACCCAAGGGGAGAAAACCCCCGGGGGATACATCATCCAGCGATACAGTCGGCGCTGAAAGTTATCGCACCCTTGAGAGATAGAGAGGCGCCCTTTTAACCTTGCGAGCTTGAATTTTAACACGGAACGTCGAACGACGCTGAATTCGATCGCAAAAATTAATTCTAATCTTTTACAGAAGAATATTAAATTCGACCTTTCGATCGCGACTCTCCGAGCTTGAATTCCGCAAATCTAACGCGAAAATAATCGCGTCCTATATCATTAAATGATCGAGAATTACCTACGTGGTTACATTTAACTAGATACACGAAGAAACAAATTTCACGCCGGAAGTTCAATTCACGTCACCTTTTCATATAAAAATCACCGTAGCCTTCAAATAAAAAAAAAAAAAAGTATCAAGTCAGCCACACACAGTCCAATCTAATCGCGCAGTTTCGATCCATTCTACGTCCATTCAGGATTACAACATCCAAGCATGAATGAACTCGTTTCACGTCGATCACTCGCGCTTGCTGTTGCATTCCCTCCTCCCCCGCGCAGCCTCTGCTACTCCACGATCCCTCCCGCAGTAGTTGTTCCATCTCTTTCTTCTCTTTCTCTCGTTTTCGCTATATACTGAATAAACAGTTGATTCGCGTACATAAAGGCTGTGATTCTTCCCCCCTTTTTTTTTGTACTCGCTGCGGTGCGCGCTTCCGATCCTATCGCCGCGCACGAATTTGACTCTTCCACCGGCATTAATTAACCGAATTGTTGTCATTCTGCGATCGCTCGACGATTAATCTACAATTACCCACATTTGTTCCTGTATTTTAAAACCGCAGCTGGCCGTGGTAACCTCGTGAATGGAGCCACGTTGCGCGTTTACAGAATTGCATTCTGATGCGTCTTCTACGGATCGTCGTTCCCGATGACAGGCGTCTTCTGTTTTGCCGCGATGCAGCTGGCATGGCAAACACGGTCCGGCCGGATCGTCCAGTTTGTTCCAACGCTCCGCCACGTCTCGGAAGTGCTTAAGCTACTTCAACGCCATTGAAATGCGTCGATACTTTGCTTCCAATATATCGAGTATTTGTTTTTACACGAACGCAATATATAGGACGCTAAAAATCCTATCCCGTAGACAATAGTTCTAAATATACTCTTTTACTTTACTATCACATTAATGATCTTCTTATTGATTTTTTTCCCAAGAGAAATACTTCGACATAAATGAAACTTCCGGTGTAATTAAATATGTTTGTACTTCGATATAAGTAAAAATTCGTTAACAATATACTGTTAAATTTATGATATTAAATTATACCCAATTTGAATTGTTTTTAAATATTTCTTAGATCGCCACCATTCCTACTGAATACGTCGTTAATTTAACTAAAATAATAAAATTAAATACTTCAGCTCAAGAAATGTGTTAAATCTGTGTGTGACTACAATTTAATTTATCATTTATTAAGTACATACGTTAATATGACGTTGTTTATTTACCAATTCAACTAGGAAAATGGATTTTTTTACTTTTGACACATAAAAGTTAAAAATAATAAAATGTTATTTGATTCAAAGAATTGAGTTTGTTGCTCCATTGATATTTAACAATGTACATTCGATTGCAGCTCTACACAACTAAACGTGTCTGTCCCTAAGATAATTAAAAAAAAAAAAACAAAATGCAATACATAAAACATTAGGATATAAAAGCCTTCTCGAAAGCTGAGGGTTCTTTTAACTAAGACACATACAATTGGAGCATTTATCATCGATGATCGTGGGTTTCTCGCGACATCAAGGGAGTGAGTTGAATGTCAAGTGCCAATTAGCTCGTGGTTATGGCTTGATTTTAGGAAATCGTTGCTAATTGGTCGGGATTGTGGTGCTTCATGAAACTTTGTGGCCAAACGAGACAAAAGCCGCGACGAAGTCCTTCCTAATATCCTCCAATTCCGCGGGATTGTAGGGTGGGCAACTTTGTGACTTCGAGAATGTTTGATAAAGGGACCCCGACAAAAGGAAGATCGTGCGAAGTTTCATCGAGATCGGCTTTTCGATATAATTAGCGAAATTAACGCCGCTATCAACTAACCAATTCTAAATACCGACAGACATTTTTTACGGCGCGGACCATTAAATTCGCGTAACACCGAAACCACAACTCGCATTTTGAGTAAAACGCCGATGTTCTTTTTAATCAATATGGGGAAGTGTTGTTAACCATTAATTATATAGACTACCAATATTGGATGCCAAATTTTCATTTAAGTGATGTTGTAAAAAAAATGCACCAATTTAAGATATAAAGAATGATACAGAACTCTAAAATTTTAATATTTGAATTTGTGAAAAATTTTATAATTAAGTAAAAAATACACAATATTCCTTTAAAATATTAAATATTTCGAGAAACATGCGTATGGATGAGATTATATATCGTATGTTCATTATATAAATCGTAAAAATGCAATTTTACAAGCAAAAAGAAACACAGATCTTTAAAATTTTCTTCATTTCAATGTAAATGTACTCAAACAATGCGATGATCAAAAACTAAAAATAATAGCTTACATCAAGAGATTATACTGACATTAGTATATTGTGTTGAAATATAAAATTGAGAAATATCAAAAGTAACAATAGTTGCAGAAGTAACAGAAATGATAAGAAAAAGAAAAAGAAAAACAGCAAGGGGAGATACAAGATTCCTCGTTCAAAATACAAGATATTATTTAGTCATAAAATAACCAAAAAAACAATAATTCGAAGATACTAAAAAAGAAAAAAATATCGACCAAAAAATGAATTATAATGGAAGACATAGATGAAAAAAAAAAGAAACAATAATACAAATTCCAAAAAAAAAACGAAGATTGGCATTTAGCTATATAACAAAGAGAATGAAGAAATGGTGGAGGAGCGAAAAAAGAAGACAAAAAAGCACGAGGAGATAAAGAAGAGAGCCGTCAAAGAGAGACGCATGAGGATATCGAAAGACTCTCTTTGGCGACGAGAACGGCAGCGCGAACGACGCGCGCGACGAGGAAGGGGTAGCGAAGTGCCGAGGGATAGGGAATCGGCGTTTGGTTGAGGGGGTTGGGCGAGGGTTCGGTCGCCATGGCGACAAGCAGCCCCCGGGACCCTCGCAGCTCGTTGCCGGGGTTGGTCGAAAAGGGTGGCCCAGGGCGTCCGCCGGGCAGGTTAGGCTGGGCACGCAGCCCGAATGTCACTCGGTACAAGGGAACACAAGGATGTCCTTTGGACGCGATGGGGAGCAGAGCGAATGCGACGAAGAGGGTGGCGGCGGCAGTGGGAGAAAGAGGAAAACGTCCCCCCGCGCATCACCGGCACCCCCTCGTCGTCCTTCATCGCCCGCCCCCATAGCCGACTTTCGTAACCATCGACGCTTTGCGTCGAGGACGAAATATCTTGCCACCGTTTCCCCGGCTTCTTGCCTCTGTCGGTAATTAACGCGACCTTCCTGCCGCCGGAAAAGTGTAAAGGGACGCTTGGGGCGGATAGCTTGGACGACGGGGTGCGCACGCGGGGGTGGACGACGGGGACCATTGCGAGCGAGGGCGTAATTCCGTTAAGTGTCTTCGTAAACTTCGTTAGCTGCATTTCCCGACATTACCCACCCTACCGCGCTGCCGCGCAACCCCCGACACATCCCCCGCGGGGCGGAATATGAGGACGCGAACGACACGACAACGACAACGACAACGACAGCGGCGGTGGTCGTCGCCGCCGCATGGTCGGTAATGTTACCGCCGATAGGTTGCGTCGAATTGGTTTTTCAGAGTTGCGTAATGGACGGAAATCGAGCGCGAAAATATATTCCACCGCGCGCTTCAACGCCAGCTATTAAAAGCCTATATAACATCAAGATACTCGTCGCAACGGCCGGATTTCAACGCTGAAAAAATACCTTACATCTTTCGCGTAAAATCGCGCCCCTCTGGATTTTAAATTTTCTTTCTTTCTTAACACCCAACATCTAACGCAACAGAGAAATATCGTTATGTTCCCTATATTTTTTTGTTCTCTCGAGCTGCATTCAGATTCCCCATCCAAGTGCCACCTACATAGGCATCCATCATTTTATCCTTGTTGTTCGCCAAATGTTAAACAAAGATAAAATAATACCTGGGGAGCACTCGGGTGGGAATCTGCAAGCGTTCCTCGAAAGTTAACGAAAAAATTCGAACGCAACACTCATGCAAAAGCGCACTAATCAAACAGTAAATGATTCCGTTATTGAATTATACATCAGTTCGATACACTCGATCACATTGAGATGTGCGGGCATACTGATATTATTTCGAGAGCTCATGAATAATGAACAACGCGTATTAGTGTTGCAAATGTAACATTAGTTACATTCAAATCGAAGATAATGATAATCATTAACCGTAATTTACAAATAATATATGAGTTGATTATGCCAGAATGCGCAGTAATTTTCACCGGAGCAAATCCGCGTGCGGTTTCGCGATTGCTAACGAACCGAAAACTATAGTCTGCATTGCTATAGCACCGTTAAATCACTTTTATAATTCATTATACTGAACGACATTCGTTAACTGTTCGTTATTGAAGTGGATAAGCGTCTTTTTCTTCGTTTTTACATAATTATATTTTATTGGTTTATGCCATCGTTGGAGACAGAAACTTTACTCGAATTCTTAAAGTATTTAATGAATACGTAATTAACCCTTAAACGCTAGATTACGGAAACACACTTGAGTATGACATGCCTAACTCAATTCGATTGCTTATAACTTTCATAAAAATGAATATTTTATAAACAATTTTCTTTTCAATCAAAACGCCAGATATCAAGAAATATAATGATACCAAGTAAATATATGTATCTTTATTCATAAGAAAAGATTAAAAGCAATAGAAAAAAAACGTTGAAAAAGCATTGGAAAAAGAAAAGTGCGTCATATCGAAAAAGTATTAAATGGATTAAGAAAGGAATATATCCCCCCTGCGAAGCATAGTTAATTCTTATTGATTAAAATCAGGTTAAAAGTTAGAATTCTAAAGCTTAGAACTGCGCAAAATATTGTTGTTAGTAACAGTATCTTCAAAAGCATAAGATCTTTCAACAGCAAAATGTATTGATTGCACAAATACATTCGTCACGCCATTACACGTTAAATTCTTGAGAGTATCCTTCTCGTTCGTGATAAAGAAGCACGCCGCGGGCAGATGCTAGCAGATCAGGATGCTGTATTAAATATAATAACTGCGGCGGGTTTTCGCGCTTGAACTGCTCGAATTATGTAACATCATATTCGCTTTGTGCTTTTCGAGTATCGCCAACTACAATAGGAGCAGACACCTGGAACGCTCGCGTAACGTTTCATTTCGTGTCCGAGGATACAATGTATCCACTAAACCACGTAAAACTAACGGAAATCTCTCTCTTTCGAGACCAACACGGTAATTTCATTAACAAACGCGTCAACGTATCCTACCGTGTGTTAAACGTAACAGGTAAAACAAGCGAATTTCGGACGAACGACATTTTTGGCCAATCAACGGAATGTATTGACTAGAAATAACACAAAAGAATTTTCTTTCTCTGTTAGACTCACCGGGATCCATTTCATCGCTCTTTTCTCGGTGTATTTTCTCTGAAACAGAAAAAATATTATATATTATTAAAAAATAACAAAAATCCTTAGCAAAAATGTGCTTCTTTGAAGAATAAAATTTAACAATTTTAAATTACTTAGTACGCGATTTAAAATTTTATTTGATGCACAAATACCTAAAATACATACAAAAGACATATATAGTAAACAAATTATGATTAACATAACGATACAATGAATTGTCAATTTTATTCGATATGTTTTTATCCTCTAATAAATAATTTAGTTCAACTTTTTATTTATGACATCATGTTAAGGAAAGAGATTATCTTCTGATCTATTTACCATCAGTTAGACTGCCGATATGAGATTTAGAAGCAAAACGCGTGGAAAGAAAAAAATTAAAATTACTAAGCGCGAACCAACGCGTAGAACCAATGCACGGAAAAAAGAAATAAAAGCAATGAAAAAATCCCGAGGGCAACACAATCCTCAATGAAAAGATCCTCCACTAATAGGCATTATATTTTTCGTTCTGTACATTAGAAGCAGTCGGATTATATGGGCCTGTCAGCGGCCTAATAACTGGCCTAAGGCCCGCTCCGCATCTGATACGGGAAAAGGACCCTTTCCTATACATTGTGTGCATTAAATACTAATCGCAACGCGCGCCAGCATGATCGTGATATAATGGCATCAAGGCGTAAGTGATATACGTGTGGCAGCTTCAAAGGATGCCGACATGAAAAAAATAAATGGAAAAAAAAACGTTCTGTAAGACATCAATATGTGATCACCTTCGTGAGACTTCTTCCATCAATTTTATTTAATAAAGATATGTAATCCTGCAATATGTCTAAAAATCAAACTATTGATCATATTTATTCAACTTCAAAAATGTCATAGAAATAAAAGAGAATGAAGCAGGAAACTAATAACAGCGTCCACTGTATTACAGAATTCGTTGCATATCGCTTTTTCAACAGTTTCGAAAAAGAATAGACATGCCAAAAATGGTATAATCCGCTCTCGCTGTACCGTTATTAAAATAGCGCCTTCATATTTGCAGTCGCCACGGTAGAGACCATCGGCCATTTTCTGTCGCCGCATGGCGATCCCTTGTCCCAGTGCAGGTCGGTTGCTGCAATTTCCTCCCATGCTCGCCTCGAATGCGCGCTCTGCCTCCAAAGGGGTTGCTAAGGCTGATACTCCACCAGCAAGGGGTCGCCGCACAGAGGGTTCATCTCTCATGCGAGGTGGGTTGATGGCACGGAATTTCACCCCCGTGGGGTCGACCACGGAGAGATATCCCGGGATATTATCCCTCGGGAAGCCGTGTAATGAAACCGTTCCGGCACCCCCGTGGCATTATTCCCTCACCAATAGCTTACCACCCTCCACAAGGATATAGGTGCATGATATGGGGCACAGCTGCGTCTCTGTACCGATACGCCCCCTCCTTTATCACGTCGGTCGTCCCTTAGCGAAGGATAAACATAGCAAAGCCGGCGTCAGCAACGACAGCATCATTAAGAAATCCCTGAGCTCCATTACACAAGCTCTTCACCCTTTTCAGAACCAGTCGCCATTTTTTACCAATTTCTCGTGAGGGGTGCATAAAATGAATACGCGATAGAGAACATGGCGCGTTTACAGAGGAAACGTTTGAAACGTACGAGTTATTGTGCGCATGAAAATAGTAACTTTCTTTTCTTTAAATAAGATATAATTACATGATAAATTAAAACTCTTCAAACAGGAGAGAAAAGTGATAGAAAAATTTTTTAAATACACTTACAATGTGAGAGATGCAATTTTATAGTTGTTAGAACGTACCAGAAAATCATTGTTTCGACCAGTTTATATTTAACGAAGGCGGATTCAGTGAAGAGAGAAAACAGCATACTATATGGGCATCGTTATTAGTGAATCCACGTAATTGCTTTATCCCCTCATGTATCATACCAACATTTTTCAATTCTTCTCCATATTCACAGGGACCAGATAATGAGATATCGTGTGTCGAAAGATGTAATTTTTAAAAATGACGCGCTATGCGAAAATTACAAGATATATGTCGCACACGCGACGAGAAGAGAACAATAATTTGCAATCGTCTTTCCAGGAAATCTAAACAATTTCTCATTAAAAGTAATTTTTTAAAAAATTCGGTATTTCAGGTATTTTTCGCATGTTGGTTAACGATATGAATAAAGGATATTTAGACGTAACATAATAACGGTTCACCACGCGTACGAAAAAGGGATTTTCGTACACGAATGCTTTCTCTTTGAGCGCACAGAGCATAGATACCGTAACGTCATATATCTTTTTGTGCTTTTTATACGCTAACATACGTTATATGAAAAACTTCTCATTTATGTGCAATTTTTCTGCGATTCACTCGAGTCGCATCTTGCGTTCGTGTGCGCTTCATTTTCTTTCCCTCTATTCCGCTCGTATCGTTTTCCTCCAGCCGTATTACTGCTAATAAACGTGTATTAATCAATAATTAATATTATATAATTATCGCAGAATATTATGTGATAAATCGCCTATCTTAAGCTCTTCTCTTCAAAATTTTTTCTCGAAACATTATAAAAGCTTTATCCCTAAAAACATTATCAAACTCTCGTCTCTCATTCCAAGCATTATCTCGTTTCTTTTTTTAATATTCTATCATTATTTGTAAATAAATTTTCCAGAATGCAAAAATAATGAAATAGTCCCATTCGAATGTTTTTTTTCTAAATTGAAATTTATTTTAACAATGTCTTTGGCTTTTGATGTTACTCTCTACTGAAAGATAAGATCTTTTTTCTCCATTTATAAAAGATAAGGTCATTTTTCCATTTTCATGTTGGAGAATCGTGTTATTTTTACGTTTTAAAATACGTCGAAATACAAGGACTGATAAAATTTTACAGAAAAAGATAATCTTCCACGTAATGAGGTCTTTCACTATATTGCACATTAGTGCATTTTGTTCTTGTCATCTGCACATGTCAGTTTTTATTCTATGGAAATCTCTATCTCAGTTCTGAATCTGACTGCGGAAGCTATCCACAGAAGCGTCGGCACGTTTCTTCAAATCATTGACTTTGTCCATTCAATGAAACCTACGTCCTGTAGCAATAGCTCCACGCGCGTATAGAAATGGGGCTCGTTTCTCAAGAGCCTCACGAGAGAGCAATTTCCGATTCGCTGTACAATAAATGACGGAAATGTCAGTCAATTAATAAGCATAACGAACCTAACTAATTTCCGCCTTTGTTCCACTACGCGGTCCTGGATAGATGAATGAGTGGCCATTATGCGTGTATATGTGCGGTCTTTATGATTGGTCAGATCCGTATCACGACAGCCGGTTCCGCTGTTACCGGGCTGAACCGCGGCCGACGCGGCAAAATCTCGTGAACCTTTTTAACCGCGTGCACGTGCCGACGGGATATCGTTTTCGTTCTTGATCCTGCATCGTCCTAACTACCTCCTCTCTTCCGTTAATTCATTTTTTTTTCTTACGCCTGTATCTTCGTGCCGTGGTCTTATGACCGGCGCAATCCACGCAATGGCGGAAAGAGGGAATGAGAAAAACTTGATGGCAGTACAACAATCCATCAACACTTTATACATCGCAATAACTATTATATTTTATATATGTATATATATATATATATATATATAATTTAGTTGATATACTTAAATACGCCAGAAATTTTGTATATTTAATCATTTAGGTACAAATATCGATTAATAACAAGTAAAAAAAAGTATAATTTCCTAGATACACTAGATAACCCTGAGACAATGTTCTCATAAACAAGTCCGAATGACCGATCGACTGACAAATGTGCAACCGAGAAATTTTATAGTCACAATATCATTTTGTTGAAATACTCAAAAATGCAGAAAACTGGGAAAAAATGCAGTTCTGAAATCAGTGTTTCACGCGAATACGAATCGCGTTTTTATATTCATGGAAATATCCAAACACGCTAGGTGAGAAACCAATGGTTATGCGTCGAACGCGCGTCGTTACGCTTTCTCTGTGCTTTCATTGTGCGATTGAAAAATATTTGCGTATATTTTCGAGCACGATTATACATTTTTCGCCGCATCTTTTCTTGCATATTTTTAGTAATTTTAAAACATCACATACATTTGCAGTGAAATAAAATTAAAAAGATATTTTATATACATATATATCAATTCTTCTAAATGAAACGCCAAGCATTCCAATAACATTAGAAATAATAAACATTCTTTAATGACGAATAAGTAAACTCAGTTTAACATATTACGAAAACAAGTAATAGTAGTTATTGGAATCTATACATGTAGATCGTGGGATTAAATAATAAACGTTAATCGGTTTTATAGAAGCGTTTCATTTCGCACATCCAAAGAATATTATTTTTATTATTTTCCACGATAACAATCGCCGCTGTTGAATAGAGTAGAAATCACTCTCCGATTTCGTCCGATTACTTGAAAACTTTTCCAAAGAACAGCAAGTAATGGAGACGAAAGGGGTTGGAGATTTTACTGAAGGATCATCGCGCTTTAAACGTTTTCATTTCGTGGCATTTCTCTGGACATGAAGAGCCGCAGGAAGAAAAAAAGAAAGCAGAAGGGGAAAGGTTTGCGATGGCGTCGTGGGATTCGTTGCTGATTGGACGATGGCAAGGGTACGCATTTTTAGCCACCCTTCGGATCTGCCCTCATTGTCATTTTAATTTCGATCCCCTCGGGGACCAAAGAGAGGGTGGGGCGTAACAGGGGGAACGTTATAGGAGCTACGCACCCTTGGCAAGATTGGCTCGACGACGCAGAAACTGGTTACAACGGAAACACAGTGAGATTATACCGGGTGTTCTAAGATAAAGTTAATAAAAGAATTGTACAGACAGTTATAACTCAAGATGTTATTTATTTACATATAATTTAGTTATTTCCTGTAAAAAAGCAAATATCAATGTTTATTTTGATTATTTTCCCAAAAATTATAACTTCTTTAATATACTTTTATCTCACGTTTA